GCCCCACCAGCCCACGGTGCCCACTTCAGGGCCTCTGCTCAGCATCTAGCCCATGTTTCTTATAGCATGAGCTGTAGACTCCTGGGCATCATATACCCTCCCTGCTGGGGCCCAGGATTGTCACCAGCGACCTGGGTGATTTTGATATACCCTAAAGTTTAAAATAACTCTTCTGGATCTGTTCCCAAACTCTTTCCCAGCTAAAAGTTTATAAGAGGAGAAACTGAGGCTGCAAAGGGGACGTGGCTTATCTGAGGTCATACAACAAATTGGTGGAAGGATCCAGATAAACTCTAGGTGTCCTGTAACGTAGGTGAGGATGTTTGGAAAGGCCCCAAAGAGCATGGGATGAGAAAGGGGAGTAGGTGTGCTCCGGCAGCCGTGCTCCAGCATCATCCAGAGCAGGGGGCAGCAGCTTCCTGAAGAAGCCGCTCCCAGATCCTGGGACTGACACAGCAGCACTTGTGATAAGCCCAGGTCAGAGGCATCTCACCTAATCCTGCCCCAGGGACCCCAAGGACCCCCACGAGGGAAGAAAAGGCCTTGGTTTACATGTGAGATCCTCCTAGGAGCCATTGGAGATGTTGCAGGCCAGGAGGCCCATGTGAGTTTGACCCTGCCCCCCTGGTCAGTGGGTGGAGGGTCTTCTCATTATCAGGAGTGAGGGGTGGGGCGGGGGCTCCATTCCAAAGGACAAATGGTTACTGTCTATCGGTGCTGACAACACGGAGTCACTATCCCAAGCACCCAACTTGTACTAACTCATTTAATCCTCCAGGACCCCAGGGAGGGAAGTGCTATTGTTACCTGCCTTTTACAGGTGAGAAAGCGCTGTCACAGGGAGGGAGCCAAGAAACCGCTGTGGCTCAGCTGAGCCATGCCGCGCGTGTCCGTATTTTACATATATTTTCTCAGGAGATGCTATTATTCCATTTTACAGACGGAGGCTCAGAAATAACCAGGAATGTCTTGAGACAATTGAAAATGAAGAGACAGATATTATGGCGGGATGGGGGATGGCACTACGCACCTGCAAATATAGGCAGCTGGAACGAGGAGTGCGGTGTATTCAAAGATGAGCGAGCAGTGTGGAGGGAAGGGCGGGGCCAGGTTCAAGGAAGGCGGAGACCCTTGGGGAGGGCATGAGTACCCAGCTAGAGATCTTGGGCTCATCCTTGAGCGACAGAGCCCCTGAGACGTGCTCCAGCAAGGACACTACTTTCAGCTGAGGGAGGAGGGCGTGGCAGAGGCTGGGAGGGTGGGGTGGGGTGGGACAGGCAGGGCGCAGGCAGGGCGCAGGCAGGGGGCAGCCTTCCCTCTGTGTCGCCAGCCCTCTGCTGATCCGATCTGCACGTGACTCTTCCCGTGGAAAACAGAGGCTGCTTCCTGCAGATTTAATTCAATGTCAGCTGCAAAGCTCTATTAACTAAATTGGCCATCAACTCGCGTGTCTGTTCCACATAATGGGGTTTTGTACAAAATGAGTTTTTTACTGCGTTAAAAAGTGTCATGTTTGAATCAAAACTTATTCCAACGTTCAGGCTAATGAAAGCCTCAAGTGAGAGTTGATCAATGGATCCTGAGGTGTTTCCATGGAAACAGGAGGAGGAAGGCAGGTCTGATCCGAAGCCAAGAGCACCAAGGTGATGCTCTGGGGTGCCCATCGGTGGGACCCTCGATCAGCTCCACTGAGGGGCAGACACCTGAAGTGAGAGCCAGCGTTGGGGGGTCGTGGGGATGGATGGGAGAGAGCAGAGCTTCCTCGGCCTGCCTGGGAGCTGGAGCCTCCAGCCCTGAGTCTGGCACACTTGCTGTGGCAGCCAAACCTGTATCTAAGGATTCACTTTTGCATATTTACTGGGCCTTTGATGCCTCCACTCCCGGGGTCTCCCAAACCAGCCACTCACCATGCACTGGTCTTGCTGCTGCAGCCCTGACCAGCCCTGAGGACCCTGGAGGCCAGGTAGCCCAAGCTGGGGTCAGGCCTTAACATGGGTGCCACAGCGCACCTCAGGGGAATCACTCTCCCTCTCTGACCACGGGTTCCTTGTCTCTAAGATAGTGATTGGAGCAAAGCTGCTGTATTTGGGGCTGGGAGATCTGAATTCCAATCGCCCCTTGACCTCTGATGTGAGGCTGATCATTTAACCTCTGAGAGGTAGTTTCTCCATCCATAAATCTGGGAGTTATGTCTTGGGTCCCTCTGGGAAGATGTCATAGGAGCAGATATCTGGCAGCCCATGGACCAGCCACACAGACAGCTAGATGTCAGGGTGACCCCCTCTGAGCTGGCAAAAAGGAGGAACCATGTGGCGGGTGGTCCTGCCTGGGGCCCCTTCTTGTCTCACAGAGGCCACAGACTAACATGGAGCCCTTCCACAGGCTCATTCCTCATCTTGTGTCATCCTTACAGCCCTCTGACAGGGATCACTGTCCTCATACACGTGAGGCCACACACTAGGGAAGCTGAGCGCTTTTCCATGGTTCTGCCACTGTGACTTGACGTGGCTGGGACTAGACCCACTGCTGTCATGTGATGTGTTAGACTCCAACCCAGGACTCTCCCTCCTCCTGTGTTCTCTCAGCTCGCTCAGCCCACGATGGCTGTTGGCCCGGCATCTGTCCCTAAGCCCAAGCTTCTGAGCTGGCCTGTGAGGGCTGCTGCAAGGCCTGGCCACCAGCCACACGTCCACCCAATTTCCCCACATCACCAATTTCCCCACATCACCATATGGCCGAGGGGTCTGTTTTGCTAGGGGACGGCGGGGCCAGTGAATGGCCCATTCTGTGCCAGGGACCAGGGCCTGATTCAATTTAAACCTGCCTGTCCGGGACCTGCCTGGAGGAATAAAGACTGCACTCTCTGAGAGACGTAGGCAGGCCGCAGCCAGAGACCCTGTAATCAGGTTTGCTGAGGCTGGCCTCAGCCTCGGCCCGGCGCTGTGCCCCATAATCACTAGCCTCTGAGGGGTCAGTATGGTGGCACGCCTGCCCTGTGGCTTCACAAGGCTCCTCTTTCCCCCTTAATTGAATCAGGCTCCAGCCTGGCATTCCCTCGGCCTGAAGTCATCTCCGTGGGGAGGGGAGCCAGGCATAAGGCATGAAGAGCTCGAGGCAGAGATGGCCAGAAGGGACCCAAGAAATCACACATAGCTCATCCTCCACAGACACAGGGGTTGAGGCCTGAGAGGGGTGGGCTTGCCCTTGCAATGGCCACGGGGTGGGGGTGGGGGTTCTTGCAGAGTGGGGACAGAAGGCTCAGGACCCCAGGATCCACACAGACAAGGAATTCTTTTTCCCCATTCTGCTGTAAAAAATCTGAAGGTTGAAATGAGGACGAACAGATCCCAGCTACCCGCCCCACCGATGAACTCACAGCACAGATGACCTTCCAGTCATAATAATGAGAAAAAAGCAGACACTAAAGAGTACACAACCTGAGCCCATCAGTTTAAGGATCAAAAGTGAGAACGAATGATCGTTCTAGAAGTCAGATGCAGTTACCCTCGAGGGGAGGCAGTGACTGGGAAACGGCAAATGGGGGCTCTCTGGGGAACTGGGAGGTCTCGTTTCTTGAACTGGTCCACAAGTGTTTATTTTGTCAAAAGTGATGGAGTCATACACTTAGGGTTTGTCTATCTTTCTGTATGTGTGTTACACTCCAATAAAAAGGCTTGGAAAATCTGAAAGCTGGGAGAGACTGTATTTTTATGGAAATATTTACTGAATATCTGCCCTGTTCTGGCCCTATGCTTGGGGCTCAGAGAAAAAAGGCACAGTCTCCAAGTGGAAGGAGCTTACGGTCATGGTCGGTAGCTAGATGGTGCAGTGTAATCAGCGTTCTATGGAGGGGCATGCACAGTGCTGAAAGCACAGGGAGCACCCAGCCTGCGAGGGCAGGAAACTCCTGAAGAGCAAGGATGGACCTCCGTCCTTGAAGCTCTTAGAGGAGTAAAGAAGGACGAAAGGGTGCCCAGTCCAGGGAACAGCATGTCCAAGTTCCAGAGACAGGGCAGCACAGGGCGCACTCCAGGGAGCCATGCCGGATGGGATTACATGTCAGTGAAATAGACTGGACTGGGAACTTCGGCAGGAGGCAGGGTAAGCAAGGGTCACACAGGCCAGTGTTGCCTAAACCTGGATATGCCCTGGAGTCACCCAGAGAGCTTCATGGGTTCCATCCAGAGCTCAGAAATCAGAATCTCTGAGGATATTAGAACAAAAACAAAGACCTCCCCAGGGGAGCCATTGATGAAGTTTTAGCAGGAGAGGCAATTGATGAAGACTATCTTTTTAAAGAGGTGGTCTAATCCCTGTTTAAGACCAGTTAGGGGAAAGTGTGGGAGACTAGTCCAGGTGAGAAATTCTGGTGGCCTGACCTAACGCAGGGTGACTGGGATGGACAAGAAGTGGTGAGGTTCTAGAGATACAGGAGGGAAGACTTGAAAGGACTTTTTAATGGGCTGGAGGGTGGCAAGGATAATGCCCAGGTTTCTCATTCAGGTTGCTGGGGAGGTGGTGGGACCACCCACTGAGACAAGGAATCCTAGAGGAGCAGATGTGAGAGTAAGATGTTGAGTTTGGAGAGTCTGTAGAAGGAACATCAGTAGTGGTGGGACCTGGGCAGCAGAATGTGTGACAACAGCAATCTGGAGAGAGTGTTTTGGGAGTGACTTGCATACAGATGGTAGACAGCATCTCCCCAGTAACATTGCCTCTTAGGAAGAGTGTGTAATGTGTGACACGTGTACACCCCTCCAGAGTGTGTGGGTTTGGGTTAGAACTTAAAGAAAGTGTTAGGAGAGTGGTCGGCCAGCTCCATGGGGGTTGAGACCTTATCTCACCAGGAGACAAGAGTTGAAATAACTCATGAAAAAGTTCCTGGCACTGAATTCATGGCAATTCTCATCATCATTCTGCTCTTCAACGAAGACTCAACAGCGGCTGCAGGCCCCTTTATTATCTGTCCACCTAACGAAGTCATTTCTTGGCTTTTCCAGGCAGATGTGGTCTTTCACCCTCACCCAGGAAATCTTAGAACTGTCCAAGGTGTTCTCTCTCAGGAAGGAGCTTGAAGCTGGAGAAAAATCTGTCTGATGGAGCTTGTCATCATCTTCAGTACCGGAATCAGCTCGCAGTCTATTCCACTCAACTTCAACACAACTGGAAATCTGTTAGCACTGACTCTCTGTGGTCCTCCAACCTCAACCACACATCTGAGATGGATTAAATAAATGCCATGTGCCAACTCTATGCGTGACACTTGGGGGTTCCAGGGAATCCCAGGAGTTTAGACATCATCTATTCCATCACCCGTTCTACCTGGGGAAACTAAGCCCCAGAGACAAAGTTTCTTTCCCAAGATCAGAGAGTGAGCTGGAAGCATTCTGTTGCCAAGCTCAGGAGGCCAATCCATCCTGTCATCAAATATGTAAATGGAACCAGAGTCAAAGTCCAGAGTTCACCAGCTAATGCCCTTTGCCTGCCTTTTGCGTGACTGATTCTCTTACTCTCCAGACTCACCTGCACTGGTACGCTGTGCAGTGTGCGGGAGACTCAGGGCTATGCCAGCTGTGAAGTCCACCCCTCATTCTTTTCTTTATTATCTGCCCCTTCCTCCCCATTTCTCTCCATCTCTGCACTGATTTTAGTTGTAGGTGGGTGAAAAAGTGCTTTCCCCTGACGGTGCTCACAACCCGGGGTTGTGAAGGGTGGATAGACGAGTGGGAATCTGTTCAATTCAGAGATCAGCACAAGGCCCTGAGTGGCAGGCTCCCGCAGGGCACTGGCTGGGGAAGGGGAGCTGGGAGTCTCCCAGCCTGCTCAGTGTGTGGTAGGGGTCCAAAGCATTGGTAACATGCTCACTACTAACATCAAGAGGCTGGGTGATGGCAGATATTTATTACTCCCATCTGCCCAGATGTGGTTTCATCCATCCTCTAATTTTCTTTTCATTTTTTAAATTGGGGCATAATTTATAAACAGTAAAACCTACTTTTTTTTTGTATACACTTCTGTGAGTTTTGACAAATGCATGGAGTCATAAAACCACCATGGCAATCAAGATAACAGAACAGTTTCATCACCCTCAAATTCCCCTGTACCCTTTTGTAGTCGACCCCTCTTCCCATCTCCAGCCCCTGACAACCACTTATTTGTCTTCTGTTTCTATAGTTTTATCTCTTCCAGAATGTCATATGTTCCATTGTATGGGCGTACCACAGCTTGTTTATCCTTTCACCAGCTGAAGGTCATTGAGGTTGCTTCTAGTACTTGGAGATTATGAATTAAACCCCATATAAGCTCACATACTGGTTGTTATAACAACATGAATATTCAGTTCTCTTAGGTAAGAACTCAAGAATGAAATTACTAGGTCACAGGTGTATTTAGCTTTATAAGAAACTACCCAGTTGTTTTCCAAAGTGGCTGCACCATTTGCACCCCCAGCAACAAATCGTGAGAGCTGCTCCACATTCCTGCCAGCACTTGGGATTCTCAGCTCGGCTTTGTTTTTTCTCTTCTTAGCCATTCTAATAGGTGATAGTATACTATTTAATTTTAATTTGAAACCCTCCATAGGACAGCCAGGCATTATCCTTACCTGCACTTTACAAAGGGGGAAACAGAGGCTCTGCTCAAGCAAGTGGCTCAGCCACAGTCACACTCAGTGACTATCAGAACCGAGATGCCAGCCGAGGGCTTCTGGCTGGTCCTCTGACCAGGGCTCTTTCTGGGTGTCGAGTGAGAAATTTCCCCAGGCCACGGCAAGGACCCCAACAGAAAGAGACAGGAGGAACATGAAGAGGATCAGGGAAGCCAAACCCTGTTTCTTTGGGGCTACTCATGAAAGTCTCCGTTCAAGTGGGAGCTGAGCCCGAGGGTGGAAAGACAAACTGGGGAAAGCATACCAGGCAGAGGGAAAAGCAGGAGGAACAGTGTGCAGGTGAGAAAAGATGAGCCGTGCTGGGGATGCGCTCAGCCAGCAGGGCCCCAGGACAGCTGGCTGAAGAGATCAGCTGGGTCCAGGTGGAGGGGGTGTTTGTGTAGAAGAAAGAGCAGGGAATTGTAACATCCAGATCCCTGGACCAGAGGCACAATTCATAACTGCCCTTTCCTCATCTGTAACATGGAGATAATAATAGTCCCCTCCAGTGTTGTTGAAGAGATCAAAGGATATAAGGTGGAAAACTTTATAACCATGACATGCCACACAGGGATGAGGAATTGTGCTGTGGGCACGGAGCACGCACATCGAAAGCACCCCCTGGTTGGATAAATGAAGGAGGTCTTACATGCCAATTGTCGTAGTCCATTTGGTCTGCTATAACAAAATACACAGACCAGGCAGCTTATGAACAACAGAAATTTGTTTCTTACAATTCTGGACTCTGGAAGTGCACGATCAGGGTGCCAGCACGTTTGGGTGAGGGCCCTGTTCCAGGTCGCAGACTTCTCGTTGCGACCTGCTATTCTCCATGTGAGGATATCACATGGCAGAAGAGGCTGTGGAGATTTCTCAGACTGTTTTTATAAGGGTGCTAATCCCATCATGACCTCAAGAGGCCTCATGATCTAACCACCTCCCAAAGGTCCCGCCTCATAATACCATTACCTTGAGGGTTAGGTTTCAACTTCTGAATTTTGGGGCGACACACAATCAGACCATTGCCCCAGTAAACATCATTCCTAGACAATGAGGAGCAAATCTTCCTTTCCTAATCCATGGACTTATTAGTGCTTATTAGGGAGGGAGCCCATCAAAATGATTCTAAAACCTGAAAAAGACAATGGTCCTTGTTAGTCACTAGTCAGTGTATCTTTGTGGCAGGACCTTGAGCTGGTCTTGGTAGCTGAGGCCACAAGGAGTGGAGGAAGGGGCATAGCCAGACCGTTTTAGGGTAGTGAGACCAGGTGGTAGAGACAACAAGGTGTATTGGAGGTTAGAGCTGTCATACGGAATTACTCAGTGCTGCCATCTCGATGATCATTTGTGTTGAGGAGGGGTCTCATCCTAATAGGATGCTGCTGGTACCCCTCGGGTTCTGCCTCAGTTGGAGGTGGACAATTCTTGGCACTGGGAGTCCTCCAGCCCATTCCTTCTCAGCCGCCTCTGCATTTTCCCACCATGGGCGCGTAGCTCTAGCCACATGGGACTGTTTACAGCCTGGCACACGCACCCCATCCACTCGCAGATCCTCCTCGCCCTACTCATATTGTGCTGGAATGCTCTTCTGTCTCCAAAACTGCCTAATGAAATTCACATACCCTTCAAGACCCAGCTGAATCCCGCTCCTTCCAAGAAGCCTCTCCAGGTCTGTCCCATCCGACTTCATCTTTCCGCCACTCAGGCTCCCACAAGGCTCCGAGCAGAAATCTGCCCTGTGCCAGGGCTTTTTTTTTTAATTGTAGTAAAATATACATAACATGAAATTTACCATTTTAATCATTTTTAAGAGTAAATTCAGTAACACTAAGTACACTCAAAATGTGTGCAACCGTCACCACTATCCATGTCCAGAAATTATTCACCATCTCAAACTGAAAACCTTTGTCCATTAAACACTAATTCCCCAGTACCCCACCCCCACCCCTCTACCCTAGCCCGTGGTACCTCTATTCTACTTTCTGTCTCTATGAATTTACCTATCCTAGATACCTCATATAAGTGGAATCATACAATATTTGTCTTTTTGTGTCTGGCTTATTTCCCTTAGCATAACATTTTCAAGGTTCATTGGTTTTGTAGCATGGATCAGAATTTCATCTCTTTTTATGGCTGAATAATACTCCATTGTATGTATATGCCATACTTTGTCTCTTTCTTCACCTGTTGATGGATATTTGGGTTGTTTACACCTTTGGCTGTTGTGAATAACGCTACTATGAACATAGGTGTGCAAGTATCTGTTTGAGTCCTTGTTTTCAATTCTTTTGGGTGTCTACCTAGACGTGGAGTTGCTGGATCATATGACAATTCTGTGTTTAACTTTTTGAGGATCTGTGTCAGGGCTTTTTATGCCCATCTGAGCACTAACCCAGGAACATGAGGATGGCAGAACCCATGCTCCCCTCATCTCCACATGGCAAACCCTAAAGGAGACTTTGGGGCCAGACAATCGCGAGGTTCAAATACCAACTCTACTTCTCAATACCTGAGCCTCCATTCTCTTGTTTTTGAAACACAGATTATGATGCTTACCTCTCAGGGTTGCTATAAACACGAAATGTACTGCCAATGTGAAAGGGCTGGCACACGGCAGGTGTTCACTAAATACTCGTCCTGCCTCCCCTCACCCACTTCTGTTTCCTCATCTGTAAAAAGCATCCTATTTACTAAATGCCTTGTAAACCCCAAATGCTTTCAGGACGACTGGGTGGAAATGTTCTGTGGCAACTTTCTTTAGAAAACATGGCCCCCCCCTTTTTTTTAAAGAAGCCCATAATTCCTCCACATGCTTCCCCATCTGTTCCCCCAAATGTGATAATTAGGAAATGATGCTGTCACTTTCCAATGTGAGAACTCTGCCCCTCCCATCCCATCTCTGAGCGACATGGCAGAAGGATGAGCAGATCTTAATGCTCACGGCCGGCCCGATCCCCAGTCCCCATGATTTTGATATAGTTCAAACACCAGGTCTCTCTCCCCTAGGAAGCAGCATGAAGTGTGGGGACAAAGGGCTGATTTCGGGAGATCTGAGCAGAAGGGGACTTAGAGACCACCTCAGACCCCCTCACCACTTGTGGGTCGTCTCTCAGCGAGTCTTCACCAGCATCTAGAACAGTGAGCTGCATTAGAACCATTTAAGGTTAGAGGATGAGGCCCAGGGAAGCAGAGTGACTTCTAGATACAGCAAATTGGTAGGAGGGCCAAGACACCCCTCCCGATCTCCTCCCACCCAGCTGATGAAGATGTGGGCAACACGGCAGCCAGCCCCGCCCAGTAGGCTAAGAGGATTGTTTAGTCTTAACCAGGAAGTGCATGAATCTGGAACTTTGGGCTGTCTGCTGATAGTCCTCAAAATTTTCATGCCAACCAGTTCTGTCTCCTTTTGGCCCCAGGGAGTTTTCACATTCTAGACTCTAAGTCTTCATATGTGCAGTCTCCCATTTTAATTTGAGTTCCCTCCAAAGCAGAGCCTGAGACAAGGATTTGTGTGTAAGTTGCTTATTTGGGAAATGATCCTGGAAAGCTAGAGTGAGGAAGTGACGGGAGTGGAGGGAAAGTCAGTTACTGAGCTGGTTTTCACTAT